ACTACTACGACGACGACGAATGCTAGTACTAATACTGGCACTGGTACCAGCACTAGCACTAGCATTACCACCAGCACCAGTAGTAGCAACGGTGATCGTAACAATAATGGTCATCGCAATAGTAAAAATAGTCCTCGCAATAGTCGTCGCAAAGGCCGTAATCACGATCACCGTAGTAGTAATAACAAGGAAAAGATAAGCAATAATAATATCAGTAACAAGCTTCAATGTAATGCTACCAATAGTAATCAGACTCATCAAGAATTATAATCATAAACGCATTGTATGGCAATAACGAATTAACTAGCTACTACAGAATTAAGGGTCATGAGAGAATGATCACAATCATAGAGATAGTCATCACAAGGATAGATGCTGTGGCCCACCTTGTCCGCGGTCCAAGGTTTGCAACACCAAGGGAACAGCATGGCCTCAATTCAATGAGGCTCTCGCGCAGTCACTTTGCAAAAAACACCAAAAAACACAAAGACACCGACAAGCCCCCAATGTACACAATGCTTGCTAGGCACGGGCCACCGGGCTGCCAACAAATCCCATGGCGATGAATCTACACAAATCTCAACGCTGGCGCTTGGAGTTGGTTGGCTGTGGCTGAGGGATCAAGGTCATCATGTGAGAGCATCCTGGCTAGGGATACGTTGATGAAACAAAAGGCCAGCAGAGATCGAAGTGCTCGCAGTTTTAGGTTAACATGTTCACGTATGGCTTGGGTCCTTAAGGAAGCTGCTTGATCGGTTTGTCCTTTGCTCACGGCTCTGAGGGTCAAAGCACAAGCCCGGGTCACAAGCGCCCCTGATTGCGCTCCCTCAGAGCCTGAATGTCGCGCGGCATGCCCCTACACATGTATCTACAAACTTATTGGTTGTTTGAAAAGCTGGCATTGCGCGTGCTGAAATCTGCCAGTGGCGAGCCGCAGATCGTGGCTAGCCAGGGCTTCGACATGACAACTGCAAGGCGACCTTGACCTTAAACCCTGACCCTGAAGCATCCTGAAGCCCTAAAGCCCTAAACCCAAAACCCTGAAGTCCGAACACGTGGCTCGCCGAGGTCCTCAACCGCAGAGTTTCCTTTGACTCGAGCTGGGGCCTCGGAACGACGGAAGGGATCAAACGAGCAAAGAGAGGGATCAACGAGCAAAGAGAAGAGCAAGGATATGGCAAGCACGGTGCCTGTGATTTTGGGAAAGATAGTTACTGGTGGGTTAGCAGTAAAGAGTAAGGGCAGTCGTACTTACTAGCGAGCATCATGATCTCAGAAATGGAGATCTGCAAGATAGCAGAACGAAAGACAGTGCTGAGAATGGCAGCAGGGTGGCGACATTGGGACAGAAACTGATGGTTCGGTGCGGCTTCTCGCTGTCTCTTATTTTGGGCTACTGGGTAGCGAGGCACCATGATATGGGCATCGCCTTCCATGCAACCTTACTAGGTCCAACATTTGTCATGCAACTTCCAGAGCAGGCTGGCCTTGCCGGGGTCGGAAAAAGCGATCGCGGCAAAGACGAGGAGACAAAGCGGAACGCCCGCCTGGAAAGCCTCCCGAAATCAGAGTTGTATCTCGGTTGTTCAGGCCACTGGCAAACTGGACTTCGGGCGGTTCCTACGCGGATTTAGATTTGGAACCCATGTGTTAAGAAAGAGGCTGCGAATCGTGACTCCGGACAAGTTGTCCTGTGATTGCTGAGGTATTTGCTGAGCAGCACAACTTGGCATTTGCACAAGTGGACAGCGTAGTGACACTAGCGCACTCGAAGAGACTCCTTCGAATCCGATCCAAGTCCTCACGAAGCCCCGCGCACCATCGCCGTGCTTGGCAGCAACGTAGCAGCGGACGTGGAGAGATCGATCAGAAACCTTAAGTCCGTCCGATACCAGGACCATGGCTGGAAACACAAAAAAGACATGCAGAGAAGCCTACACCACAATGTCCTCATTCATCTTCTATAGTCCATGGGCATGACATCCGGAATCGGGTTTCGTGGAGCCAAGCCACTCCAAAGAAGCGATCGACACCTCGGTCTTTTCATGCGGAAGTTTCGCATTGAAGAGACGGTCGAAACCCCCCGAAAGCCCAAAGGCTCCAAAACGTCCCTGATGCTCGAGACAGTTGAGAAAACGCCCCAAGAGTCGAGCCCAAATAAGCGACTTCTGCACTGCAGCCTGGTGGAGCTCTTGAGTTCCCTTCAATGCGCAGTGTGGTCCTAACCGAGATCAGGTAGTAGGTGAAGGATTCCACTGTGCCAGACAGCCGTTCTTCTTTGATGCTTTTCAGCCTGCACGCCTGTTTAGGACTTGGCTGCAAAATTTCGAAAGCCATGACAAGGAGACAGTGTTTGGAGTCCAAGCGGCACAACAAAGCCAGAAGAGCGCTGGCACCCACATCTTTGCCTGGTCTGGAACTGTTGCTGGCACTGCCTCTATGAGTTGTGAGTAGAACGGGGTCGTATCTTAGTCATAATGCACAAGCATGTATGCCTGTGAGACGCCGAGTGCTGAGGTTGACGGTGCTGCAGAATTTGTCCAGCTGTCGGCAGCAGCATTTAAGGCTGAGGTCAATGCCAGGATGCAGCATGACAACAGAATCTTACCTTTCTGGGACCATCCTGAAGTTTCCTCTGTAAAGTCCTCCAGCCTGGACACTGATTGCTTGCTCTGAAACTCTGCACAGGACATCTCTGAGATGCTTTCAGGCTTGGATTCCCTGGGCCAGTCCACATGGCACAAGGACATTCCTCTTTTCCTGGGTGTCTGGCACTATGGATGACACGTTCCATTTCCTGCAGCGGACCGATCGAAGTGTTGGGCGGAAGCCGGCCATCACTTCAATGCAATTAGATAAGGATCTTAGCCATGAGAAAGGGGTTTCGGGGTATGTGATACTACAGTTATGTGGGGACTATACTACACATAACAGAAGCTTGAAGCCTTGCATGTGTCAACTTCGAGGAAACCAGAAATCCGGAGCCTGCGGCCAACCTTCAGCAATTACGACTACGTTCACCTGCCTCGCCGCGTACCTGGACACTAAGACGTCTGAAACACGTCGGCTGTCACATTCCAAGACTCGCACCCGCAACGCCAGCCCCCCAAAGTGCTACTACTTGTTGCGGATATCATCCAACTCTTCCGCGAACCGCAAGCCCTCTCCCTGCAGTTGAGAAGTCGACAACCTTCTAAGACGCTCAATGAATATACACTTTACTGCAATATAAACTGCATTCACAGAGCCCGGCCTCGGCGCCCGGCCGCAGCACCAAGCGCCGTGTACCGGCCTAGTGCAGCTAGAGCTTACGACTTTCGGGATGGTCTCTCCACCCTTAAAAATGTGCTTCTCCTTGGGGTGTATCAGATTTTCGAGCTTTTTGGAACTTGCTGAGGCTTTTGCATCGGCCGCGTTAGGAGGCTCTGGACTCGAGGCGAAGCTCAGGAGTTGGGACGCGGGGAATCTGTAGCCTACAGTCGGTGGGTTGGTCTTAGCCTGGACATTGCTTCAGTTTTTTTGGTATTTTTATTTTATAACAATAATAACAACTAATAAAAACGCTGCAGCCGCCGTAGCCTTTGCAAACATTGGATTCATTGCCAGCAAACCATGACACCCGAGAGTCTGAAACATTGCTCCCCCTTCCTCCCAAAGCTATCAGCGCCAACCCGTACTCGGTGGCTCGGTAAGGTGGACCACTTGGCAACTTCAGCCGACGCACTCAACAGACTCGAAGGACGGGAAGCATGAACAGATTATGGCCGAAGAGGCTTCAACCTCATAATCATCTTCGGGGCTACAGCACGTTTACACCTTTCTCACAGGCCAACGAACTCTTGCAGGCATCTACCTCACACAAATCGCACCAGTCTTCCCTGCCACAGGCCGCAGCCTCCACATCCGAGCTGCGCTTCCTTAGCCCAATCAACATCTCCTCGTGAAGGCTATCGGGTTGAGGGTTTAGGGCTTGAGAGCCTGGGTCATAGATATCGTTGCCCGGTCTCAACAAAGAAGTTCATCTCCTAGTGTTCTTGTGTTCGGCACAAAGTCATGCGCGCAGCTCGGCTTGATCCACTAGTCCATCAACAGTTCGCTTGTGTCTGACTGGCGCCAGGTCAGAGAATCACTAGCCCTCGCGGTAGTGTCGAACCCGTAACGTCCTCACCGACAGCCCCTACTGCAAATCATACACCCCATGACCCTCAACCTCATTACCCGGAACCTGAATCCACCAAGCCCTGTATGCGACTTACTGCCCCGAAAAAGTCCAAACCACAAACCCCAATCCCTAGACCGAACACGAACCATAGAGTGACTAGAGAATCCATCAAGACCTCTGATCTCATAAGGATCCCGATGAACCGCTCAGAAGGCCTAAGGCGCTACACCCGCAACCGAAGGCCTCACCCCCCGAATCCTTCTATCATTGCCCTTGATAACAATACAAATAATAATTACCAGAACCGCAACAACCAGAGGACAAGTCTTCATACTACTAGGCAGCGGCCCTAAACCTTCAAACCCCAAGCCCTAGCAGACTCTAATCCTTCGAGGCCTAGAAAATCCTACAATCCCTCCGTCACCCCTAAAGCCCTGATCCATACCCAAAAGCCCTGAGAGCCCTCTTTGATCAAGAGCTGCTACCCTGGACCCGAAACAAACCCTGAGCCCTAAGGCCAATCCCGAAGCCCCCAAACCGGTTTAGGCTTCGGGGTCTTGAGGGCCTCTCCACAACCTATTCAGAAATCTCAGAAACCCATATTCATCCTGGAGTCCTGGCAAGCCCTTTGGAAAGCGCCACAGCCCAAGTAAAACCCAACGCCACTCTCTGAAACCCTTGATTGAAGGGCCCGGCTCACACAAGACACCTCCAAAAAAGGCAAGGCTCTAAAGCCCAAGCCTTTAATTACCCCTGATCCCTAAACCTCCCTAATTATGCCACAAGCCCCTAAATCCCCAAGAAGAAAACTTTATCTTCTTTGATTCCGGGGAGCGGCTCTAAAAGTCGCGCAAGGCGCCTGGCTGTGGCAGACTTTGCGCTCACCTGCTGCGCCACCTGAAGGTTTCTAGGGTTTCTAGGGCAGTTTAGGGTTTGGCGATCTCGGAGCCTTATTAGAATATCGAGTTTTGTGGTATATACCTCTTACCGATGCTATATGATCCTAATTACAATATAGGGCTCTGTGGTCTGAAACTATTCTGATGCTGTCTGTCGTTGTATAGGGCCTATACGAACAGCTTTTAAGAGGGCTTCATACATGGGTTTACAGGTTTGCAGGTGTTTTTAAGGGAAGGTATATTGTGTTGTTTCCAACAAGGTCTTGTTTTTTTCTGAAATCGGGGTTTGCAGACTTGACAAACGGGTGTGGGGTTCTTGCTTCTGCGATTTTCAATCTCAACGGTTCTATCAGGTTTAACAATAATGAAGGTTTTCTTGGGTTTATAACCTGAGGTAGAGCGGAAGTCAGGGCTTTAGGCTAGGGTTTTTTGTTTAAGGGTGTTTAGGATTCAGGGCTTACTCAAAAGGGTTTGAGTGTTTAAGTGAGTTTTGGGGAAATAGTTTGAGCGTGGTTTGCGGGGTTTCTGGGGTTAGCAACCTAGGTCTTGGGCCATGGTGTCATAGTGGTCAGCATTAACACGTTCTACTGGTCCTACTGAATTCTTCTGAGAAAAGCGCAACAATTGAAACACAATTAGCAGACACAATTTGAATTCAGCCGAATGCTTTCGAGAGGGGGCCCTGAATGGATGCAGAATGGTACAGGCTTTGAACTGCGTGTGTCTCCCGAATTGTGTCTCGCAGAGTTAAAGTCCGTATCCAAGGATCCTGGTCAGTTAGGATCACCATCTTCGGAAACCCCCCCCATTTTGTCGGTAACCGCCTTGGTATGGTTGTCCAGTGTCTCCAGTTTCTTCTAGTCTCGGATGGTGAAGATTAAAGATAGATCCCAGCCTCAACAATCTGCATTGCTAGGGTTCGGATTGAATTTTCGAGCTTGGTGGCACTCTACTGCGAAGGTCCAGTCGAAGCCGCAATTTTTTTGGACTAGAAAAAGGGAAGGCTTCGGGTGCCTCCAAACAGGTCCGGCCCTGGTTGTCGACCGCCGAGGGGTCAACGCCTGAACAAGGCGTGACAAAGAAGCGAACCAAGCGCGGTACGTGGGGCACACTGCATGCATTCGTCTGCATCTAGAATCCAGAGTCTAGTCTGATATTACACTGATTATATTACACGGCCTGCAAAAAATGGCAGACAAGCCAGCCATCAACCGTGCATTGTCAGTCACCTAAACATCGTCCTTTCACTGGAAACTTTGAGACTGTGAAGTGGCGAGTCTTAGTCTTAAGCTCCAGCATCTGCGGCAGAGCGACGAAAGTGCTCGGGTAAGTTGCACGGCGGTGCGAGATTTTGGATTGCTTCACGCATTTGGAGCAACATAGACAAAAGCTCATGGAGGGTGCCATCAGCTGCCTGCTACAGTATCGAGGTCGATGCTAGAAAGCTGTGCTGGTGAATGTTTGCCAATGTAGACTCCCCGGCCTCGCTCCAGCAGGAAGGGGATAATGCGATCCTGTCAGGTGCACGCCAGATATCTGTCCCATGGATTCTCCCTGTCTCCGTGACTTCGGTGGCTCGTTTCGAAGCCGGTTATTGAAGGTCCACTACGGGCCCTCTTCTTCCCGGCTAGACAACAACCCTGCAAGAGTATGATGTTCCTCGACAACATAGTTTGCGACAGAAATGGACAGAACAACGTCCATCTACGGTGGCAAAGACAAGTAGACTGACCACAAACAGCAATGCTACACGACCCTGACCTAATGTCGCAAGCCGCACACCAAACTCTCCCAAAGCTCCTGATGACCTTGTGCAGCTCGGTGTAGAAGAGTCATCCTCAGCATGACGTTTGCCGCCATGCCATGTGGAGTTGCCACTGGCAGAATTGTTCACAATCTTTGGTGCTTGCCTCTGTGCTTTGAGCACTAACCACTTCCTTCAGTTGGGCAGCAAGCAACTTGTTCAACATTTTCTGGCTGCAACTGACCGTAGCTTGACCAGGAGCTGTGGTCATATGCCACCAGGACTCTGCTCGTTGTCCACCGCGTGAAAATCGGCGCTGAAGTACTCCAGAAGCCTTGGACAACGCTTGCGGCAGAAGCAGCTGTAGGTGCCCGCGTTAAACTGGCCTTAAGCCAATCTAAACTTACTTTCCAAATGTGCGACATGCATCTCGACTGGAGCACACACAAGAGGAAGAATCACTAACACCCGCGAGGACGGCAACATGATCCGAGAGCGCACCGCTAGGTTTACATTTTCGTGCTCATGCCTGGCTGGCTTTATACTAGTAACAATAAATGCCACCGAAGCATGAATGTGCCTGACTTGAGGCGCCACAGCACCAAACGCTTCGACAATGACTCAACAGATCTCGAAAGACTGCGAAGTTGTGAATTACAGTACAGGTAAGCACTGTCTGAATAAATTGCTAATTTCTTCAAAGCTCACTGCTTAAGGGCCACTTCTTTCCTGTGTCCGAGTATATACGAAACGAGACTATGGAGACATGAGCGGATAACAACTAACCAACAGCTCGAAGAAGTGCGACTAAGTTCTATACACCACAGACACCCACAGATCCGGCAACCCTTCCCATGAATCAAACGCGCTCGGCCCTCGGCCCCGAGCCCGACCTAGGGTTGCACAAGACTTTCTGGGCTCGTGACTGTAGGCTTGGCTCGTCACCTTTGTAGGCTGCCCAATGTAGGGCACCACAGCCCTGAGACGCGATGTGGTCGTGAGCATGCAAAGCCAGACATCCACGACCCTTATGGCACGCTTATCTGGAGCAGGGACAGGACGACAGAACTCGGAAGCTAGATGGCAAAGTCTGAGAATCGTCTGCGATCCATGATCTTGCCTCAAGTGTCTTTCAATAATGCCAGCTTGGAGCTAGCTGCTTGCGATGAGAGCTCCAGGCCAGGCTAAGACAAGAATGCTGGAAGACCTCTGCATGACCCAGCCGTTGCACAGAAAGAGTTTGAGCTAAGCGTTCCGGAGGTGTGGCACGGCCAGTCTGTGCATGTGTGCATGTATGTTTATGTAAGTAAAAGTAAGTCAGTATGCAATTAAGTAAGTAACTAAGTAACTAAGTAACTAAGTATGTATGTATGTATGTATGTATGTACGTATGTATTTATGTATGTATGTATGTATGTATGTATGTATGTATGTATCTACGTGTGTATGCATGCATGCAGACATGCATGCTCATACCAATAGCAAGGACAACACAGCTCAAACAACAACGATGTACTCATGACAATGAGGACTGTCAACAGTTGGCAACACGATTCGTACCAGCTGACTGCTGTAACTCGAAGCTTCCACTCCGCTGCTCTTGGCGATTACGGGGACCCCGGCTCGAATTGACAAAACCCCCCTGCATGGAAACTGCAGACTGGTTTTGTCTCCTGTTGGATGCGTGAATTCTTATTGGGGTCTGCATGGCATTTTAGTTCTTCGTGGGACGTGTCGAGGTCCTACTGCCTCGACTAGACATGGAAGCCAAAAGGATGGCAAGCGTCAGAGCCTGGCTCCAGGATACTTGCAGAACTCATGCTACAAGTAGGAATCCCAACCCGATTCCAATGAGCATCAGGCCTTGCAGTCTTTAGACGCGAAGAGCTCCGAGTGCTTGCAAAGTGCAAAAAGTAGCAGCAAGACCTTGGGCGAAACAACTTGTGCAGATCTGTGTTGAACCACTTGGCAGGTGAACATCGGAATCGGCAACCTCGGCAAAACCGCAGCTGGGTCCAAACGCAGCCTATATATCAGTCCAAAACCCTAGGCCCCAAAGCCCAATCGGTGTCCAATCGAAAGCCACCACTCGGCAAGCACAAAGCAGGCGAGTCGTGCTGTAGAGCCATTTGCAAAAGGATGAGAGAGTCTGGATGCCGCGGGAGCGGCGCCAATCTGCGAATGCTGCACTGCGAGGATGAACGGTGAGGCACCCACGCTGTCCTCCAAGGTCAAACGCAGGAAAAGTGAGCAGCACTTAAAGGTCGCGAGGGCGCAACAAACACATGACGATGAATCCGAGTTTAGCGACCAAGTAACTCTGAAGCCTTTGGGGTTCAACCGAAAATCGCCATACTTAGATGACCGATCAACATTCGGAATTGAAGAGTCTTTGTAGTTCTACGCTTTGCAATGTACAGCCGGGAAGCTTCAGGAATCCTTGGCAGATCTCGAATGAGTGCAATGCTTCCCTCGTGGGCACGATGCCAAGAGAACGGATGATGACCTAACGAAGTCTAGTTCGATGCCTTGTCCAGCTAGGCCTTGATCGCTTAAGACTTCGAAGCACAGGAAACCTCGATTCACGTCGGGTTCAGTCATCGAGGTTGCTGAACTCTAAACCAACAGGTCTACCCACACCGGACTGCCTGAGCGTGGGGATCTGCTTTGGCTTCAAGGAGGACTTTTGCAACCTGCCAGTGACAGGGAGCTGTAGAGTTCAGGCTCCGGGGCTACCCCAACAGGGCTTCGGGTTCCGGATTTGGATTGGTCTGATGCCTGGGTCTGTTTGAAGTACTTCTTTCTTGTATTTAGGGCTTAGGGCGTGTAAGGTTTCCCTCGGCCGGGAGTCAAAGCTGAAGCCTGGAGCCCGGAAACTCGAAAACTAACGAACCATGGCGGCTCATTGTCACTCCTGTGCTGTCCTGCATGCAACATGTAGACTCGACGTAGAGAATGAGATGAAGTCAGAGTCTCTGAGAACTGTCGGGGCGTAGAAGCCGTTCACAGCCCTGCGGGTGTTTGCAAATCAAAACAACATCGGCAGCGACAACGACAAACGCCAGCAACAACCAACAAGCAGACAACAACCGCCACCAGCGATGCCGGCAAGATGCTGCCACCTGCCACCACAACACCAAGCAGACCAGCCACGCAAACAACTGCAACAACAACTGACAACAACCACGACAGCCACAAACACGAACACTCACAAGCAAGTCGAACCACGAACATTCTTAAAGTAAATGAAGCCTGCACGCACATATGCATCCGCAACCAAAGACAACTCCATGAGGACCACGATATCTGCGACAGCGAAAGGCCGACGCCACCAACAATGTGAGGAACGGTAACTGTAACAACATCGACGACCATGCACTTAGCCGCAACACTTGCGCGCACACTGCAACCCAATGTGTGCGCACTGGGTCCGGGGTCTTCCTTCAACTTTCGAGAGGCCCACCTTGAGCTGCCCCCGCGTGGCTGCCCACATCAGTGGAGTTTGGAGGTTCTCAGAGCGGGCATCGACCTGGGAGAAATGTTCAGGTCATAAAGACTTAGGGCTAAGGCTTCAGGATGATTTAGGATCTACGGCACATTGTTCAGGATTTAGGGTGAAGGGCATGAGGGTCAGGGCTCAGGCTTCCAGGATAAAGGCCTGTAGGGCTCTGGGCTTGTGCATACATTTTTACTAGCTACGTGCCTGACACCTACTTGCCTGCCTGCCTTCTAGCTACCAACTTAGCTGCCTGCCTGCTGCCTACCTACAGACAGCACCGACCTACGTACCTACGTACCTACGTACCTACATACCTACCTACCTACCTGCCTACCTACCTATCTGCATGTAGACAGCCAGACAGCCAGCCAGCCAGCCAGCCAGCCAGACAGACAGACAGACAAACAGACACGCCTACTTACCTACATACTTACGTACATGAATACAAACATATTTACGTCAATACGCACACACATACATACATACATACATAGATACACATCCATCTATGCATGCATCCATCTGCCGATACCTCTGAGCTCAATAAGAACATTGCTACGGCTTCTGATAATAGTATAATAACCATCATTTTCTCGTCATCATACTAACAAGATAAAAAATGATCAGAAGAAGCAGCATAATATTGACAATGAATGCGCACGCCAAGTAAGCTTGTATTATCTATGCATCTGCGAATGCCTTGTGGGTTCATGGTGCACACATACATGCATGTGCATACAAACATGCATAAGCAACGTTCAAAGCAGAGGCAGAGGCAAAGGGAGAAGGAGAGAGAGAGAGAGAGAGCTGTGCATAGGCATATACATATCCGTGTGAAAGTACATGTACTTACAAATAACTGCACGCATGCATGCATACATAGTTAAATGATTACATACTTACTTACATACATGCATAAATACATACTTCCATACATACATATACTTGCATACACGCATACACACCTACATACATAATTACACACATACATACATACATACATACATACATACATACACACATACATACATAGATACACATCCATCTATGCATGCATCCATCTGCCGATACCTCTGAGCTCAATAAGAACATTGCTACGGCTTCTGAGAATAGTATAATAACCATCATTTTCTCGTCATCATACTAACAAGAAAAAACTGATCAGAAGAAGCAGCATAATATTGACAATGAATGCGCACGCCAAGTAAGCTTGTATTATCTATGCATCTGCGAATGCCTTGTGGGTTCATGTGTGCACACATACATGCATGTGCATACATGCAAACATGCATAAGCAACGTTCAAAGCAGAGGCAGAGGCAAAGGGAGAAGGAGGTAGAGAGAGAGAGAGCTGTGCATAGGCATATACATATCCGTGTGAAAGTACATGTACTTACAAATAAATGCACGCATGCATGCATACATAGTTAAATGATTACATACTTACTTACATACATGCATAAATACATACTTCCATACATACATATACTTGCATACACGCATACACACCTACATACATAATTACACACATGCATACATACACACATACGTACATACATCTATACATCTATGCACACATGCCGACAAACAAACATGCATGCATGAATGCATGCATACATCTGCGCATGCACACATGCACACACATTACGTACGTATCTACGTACATGCATACATACATAGAGGCAGACAAACAGACATCTGTGTGTATGTCTGTATTCATATACCCCATATACCTATATACATACACACCATATGCACTTTATATCTATACATATCTATCTATATATGTGTGTGTATATATATATACACATGTATAATCAAATACATACGACTTAACAAGATGTACAGATAAACTCAGCCGCAAATCGAGACAGATCGCCAGTTCCTATGGACACCCTCTCATCGCCGTCCCTAGACTCACCCTGGCCTCCAGACCGAAGTACAGCGCTTCTTGCGCCAACTCCAGGTTTCCGAACCTAGCAGCCCCGAGCACTTTTAAGGGACCATGGGGTATGCAGTGTGCTAGCCGCGGGGGCTTCGAGTGCTTTGCTGGTTCTTGTGCAACTGCTTCCTAAAGGTGCGGACTGCTTCATGTCACCTTCGCGGG